TTTCATGTCGTGGTAAGATCCGACCGTCTCCCGAAACGCTGAGCCCCAGTAGATCTCCTCCGACTCCGACGACATCGACCTCGTGAGCCTCTAAACCGGCACCCCGAACAGCCGACAGGGATCGCTGAGTAAGATCTCGACAAACATCAGGGGAGCTCGAGAAGACGCCCACGTTGTCCACATATACCGACACACACACACACACACATTTTTCAGATCACCGACCGGACGATGATCCTGCAGAAGATGAGAGCTCGGAAACGCCTGGCTCAAAATCCTCTCGTGTATTGTCTGGCACCAGTACAGCGCGTGGACCCAACCCATCGGCATGACAGTAAGCCGAGGTCGCACAATCCCTCCGGTGCTCAGAATGTCGGGGAGCAGCTGCTTCATCCACTTAGCCTTGATGGGGGGCAAATGGAAAAATCTCCGCAATTCGGGGGGTGTTCCAAACTGAAAGAAAGCATCCATTAAATCGTACTGACCTACATACAGCTGCTCTCCGGCCTCGAGCCTCAACCTGGACAGAGCGCCCGACGTGGGCAGCTCGACATGGTCACTACTCGTGAAGAAGCAATTGGACTGCCGACAATCGGCAATCAGGCGCTGGGCACCGCCCTTCTTGCGCACAGTAAAAAGTCCTACGCAAGCGTCACCCTCCTCGCACACAAACTCAACCATGTTCCTGTCATGCAGCATCCGCAGCACGCGTGCATATCGGCGCACAGACCTGCGAAGACCAGGGTCATGATAAATCTTCATCTTGCTCGCTTCGAAACTGTGCACGCCTACCGAGTTTGGTAGCACATGCTCGCACATTCACGCCTGGACTTCCTCACGACCTTTGGGGCCCAGAAGCTGACAAATATCAGTTGGGGCCGTCCCTGCTGGCCTAAGCGACAGCAGAGACTCGTCCAGGGGAACTGCTGGCGAACTCTCGCCAGAGTAGTCACACCGCCGCTGATGCTCGAAAAAGCCTCGGCCGGCTGAGCACCGGCGGGGGGGTACCCATCCTACTGCAACGTTCCCGGAGGTGCCCCATGCTGCCCTCGCCCAAAGGGGAAGCAGCACCAGCAGGACAGCACGGAGCACCACCCAGGTACATTTCCGTAAGGACGGAGGAGGCGTCATGACTAAGCCTATTCAACCACTGCTCAGATGAGACTGGAAGACTGCTCAGCCCTGGCGGCCGCCTAGTCGCACAGATCGAGGGCTCTGACCCCGATGCTTTTACCCGATGTTCTAAAAGATGCCGAGGCTCCGTCGACGAAAATAGCCGACTCGACTTCGCACTCGAATTTCTCGCTCCTCTGAGCGAAGGATGGCCTTCCTGCACTGCTGGCCGCCGGATGAGGCCGTCTCCGACGGCCCCGCGTGTGCTCATTGCCCGCCGCCCCCACGGCCACGACCACCTCCGCCTGGGGGCTCACGAAGTAGGGCTCTTTCTTCTCGTGCTTTCCTGGCCTGCTTCTGGATCTGCGACTCCTTCTCTAACTCCTTGCTCACGTGCTCGATAAGGGCCGGGGCGCAGCACACCGTAGGGTTGACGTGCTGCCGACCCTCGAACAGGTCCATCTCGTCATTCGTGATGACCGTCGAACCGGCAACGGAGGAAGAGGCGCCGGCGGTCCCACCGCGCTCTCCCTCTCGAACCTTCTCCGCGTACTGGTACTCTATGGTCTGGAGCCGGCGTGCGATCTTCTCCATGACCACCAGATTCGACAGGTCGAGTTGGTCCACGCTTCCCGCCGCCTCAAGGTACGAGCACAGCTGGCCATGCTCGGCCACGCCCCAATCCGAGGCGTTCAGGCGGGCGGTCGATCTCCACCAGCGGTGGTGGTCCTCTGGCCCTGTGTTACGACGGGCCATGAAGCGGGCCACCCACTGCGCTGTCCTCGGCCCCTTCACAGGCCAATGGTCGATCGCACTCTCGTTCACACTCTCCGCCACGTTTGCCCAGCTGCGCAGCCGCTCGCCGGAGGGAGAGTACCGAACCGGCAGCACCCGCGCGTCACTGGAAGCAGCGTGGTCCGTCTTCCACTGCTCGACCTGGTTCCTCGCAACTTTCTCCACCAAGAGCAAGTCTGGCCCGGCGCGAGCGATGCCGCGCTTCTCGACAATCGCTTCTGGCTGCCCCGGGCACTCGTCCCCGACCGAGAACACTGCGTTCGACTCCACGAACAGCCAGACTTCCGGCTCGGCCCCAGGCGGAGCCGCTCCGCGACCTGCCAGAGCCACCAGATCTTGCGCCTCCTCCATCAGGCCGCGCAGCGCGGCCTGATCGGGTTCAGCACCTGCTCTGAAGTTGTAGATGTTGGCGCCCTGCAGGCTCGCCGGGATGCTGCCGTCCGCCTTGAACGCTCGCACTCCGGTGATGTCGCCGTTGTTCGGGCCGTAGTCCTTCTCGTACAGGTCATTGTCCGGTGTGTATATGATCCACCTTGTGTCCTCAACTCGAGCGAGCAGGATACGAACGTGCCAGAGGTCATCGTCGTACCGCACCAGCACCTTACGCCCCGGGGCCAACGACGATGACACCACCGCCTGCCCCGCCGCTCCTGCCTGCCCGGCTGCTGCCACCAGCTGCGCCATCTGTCAGGCTGACCGCCCGCTTGGAACTGCGAAACGAGCAACCGCGACCAAAGAGAGCTCCCACCACGAAGGCCACCGCGACGAAGCTGGCGTGCAACACGAAGTTGATCTCGTATCTCGTCGTGCTGTTTGTCTGGCCCTGAAGCTGCTGGGCGACCAGACGCTCGAGCGCGGGGCACTCTCCGCTCGCCTCGCCCGAGACGACGCACTGGCAGACACAGGGAGGACACGCTTCCTCCACCTGTGTTCTGGAAAAGAGATGGTACACTCCTGACAGAGAGTCTCGAGTGAGTGTGTACAGCAGCAGAGGATCAACCTGCATATGCATCCAGGGAGCCCCCCTTTGAGCCACACACGCTACGGATAGCAACATCGGCTGACGCAAGACGTGCGCGCACTAGTATGATGGTGGTGATGATGATGCTGCTGATGATGATGATGATGATGATGATGATGATGACGATAATGATAATGATAATGATAATGATACTGATACTGATGATGATGATGATGATGATGATGATGATGATGATGATGATGATGATGATGATGATGATGATGATGATGCTGATGATATCTCCCCTCCTTTTTCCTCTTTTCCACTCCTCCGTCCTATCTCCCTCCACGCCCGAAGAACGTCGTGTCACCTTTCCCTTTCTCCCCCTCCTCTCACAAGCGCCCCTTGAAAGGATAGAAGGGTGCAATTCTTCCCCACATCCTGAGTGGGGTTCTTGCTTTCCCAGAACATCTCTCCTTCTCCCTCCCGCCTCCCGCCTCCCATATCAATACCATTTCCACCCCTCCAGGGAGGCCCCGCCTGAGCGAGGAGGGTATCGGAAACCCATACTATTTACATGGTTTCGTGCCCTTCCCACCTCTCCAGGGAGGCCCCGCCTGAGCGAGGAGGGTTTCGGAAAACCATACTATTTACATTGTTTCGTGCCCGTCCCACCTCTCCGGGGAGGCCCCGCCTGAGCGAGGATGGTATCGGAAACCCATACTATTTACATGGTTTCGTGCCCTTCCCACCTCTCCAGGGAGGCCCCGCCTGAGCGAGGAGGGTATCGGAAACCCATACTATTTACATGGTTTCGTGCCCCTCCCACCCCTCCAGGGAGGCCCCGCCTCAGCGAGGAGGGTATGGGAAACCCATACTATTTACATGGCTTCGTGCCCCTCCCACCCCTCCAGGGAGGCCCCGTCTGAGCGAGGAGGGTATCGGAAACCCATACTATTTACATGGCTTCGTGCCCCTCCCTCCCCTCCAGGGAGGCCCCGCCTGAGCGAGGAGGGTATCGGAAACCCATACTATTTACCTGGTTTCGTGCCCCTTCCACCCGTCCAGGGAGGCCCCGCCTGAGCGAGGTGGGTATCGGAAACCCATACTATTTACATGGTTTCGTGTGCCTCCCACCCCTCCAGGGAGGCCCCGCCCGAGCGAGGAGGGTATCGGACGCCTGTATTATTTACATGGTTTCGTGCCCCCTTCCTCCCCTCCAGGGGGGGCCCGCCTCAGCGAGGAGGGTATCGGAAACCCATGCTATCTACATGGTTTCGTGGCCGTTTTCCACCCCTCCAGGGAGGCCCCGCCTCAGCGAGGAGGGTATCGGACACCCATGCTATTCACATGGCTTCGTGCCCCTCCCACCCCTCCAGGGAGGCCCCGTCTGAGCGAGGAGGGTATCGGAAACCCATACTGTTTACATGGTTTCGTGCCCGTTTTCCACCCCTCCAGGAAGGCCCCGCCTGAGCGAGGAGGGTGTCGGAAACCCATACTATTTACATTGTTTCGTGCCCCTCCCATCCCTCCAGGGAGGCCCCGCCTGAGCGAGGAGGGTATCGGAAACCCATACTGTTTACATGGTTTCGTGCCCTTCCCACCCCTCCAGGGAGGCCCCGTCTGAGCGAGGAGGGTATCGGAAACTCATATTATCTACATGGTTTCGTGCCCCTCCCATCCCTCCAGAGAGGCCCCGCCTGAGCGAGGAGGGTATCGGAAACCCATACTATTTACATGGTTTCGTGTGCCTCCCACCTCCCCAGGGAGGCCCCACCTCTCCAGCTTCTCCTTCGTGTTGATGTTGTCGTACCCCATGGGTCCCACGAGATTGTTAATATCTTTGTGTGGGGAACTCCGTTAGCATAGTTTTTGGTAAATCTGGGTAGGCATCAGCCTTAATTTAGTTTCAATGTTCTTTCGTGGACCTGCCTTGGGCCCACCTAGCGGATCTGTTCGAGTCTAGTTCGATAGTAGTTTTATTCTATGCGGCTCAAATTCGGCTCGAGTTCGTCACATGTCGGCGGTTGTTCGACGCAGTGTCGGTGCATGAGTGGAGCGACTGGCTCCATACAGGTCCTCGGAGCGAGCGTCCAACGCGGTGCCTGCCCTTCCCGCCGCCGCCACGAGAGGATGGTCGATGGACGACGACGTCAGAAGCGGCCTCCGCTGCGTGAGAGGCGGGGCCGTCGCACGGGGGGGCCCCCAAGCGGCGGGTGCACTGCTTTCAGGGGGATGGAGGGAGAGGCTGCCGAGTGGGCAGGGGATGCAAATGCGAGGAAGGCATGGGGAGGGAGAAGGGAGGAGGAGGAGGAGGAGAGGAGGAGGAGGATGGGGAGGAGGGGAGTATGGGGGGAGGGAGAGGAGGAGGGAGGGAGGGAGGGAGGGAGGGAGGGAGGAGGCGGAGGAGGAGGCGGCGGTGGAGGATGAGGAGGAGGAGTGGGAGGAGGAGCAGGATGATCGTGTTTTTTTCGAACTGCCTCCAGTGACTTCCGGAGTCGTGCGGGTACTTCCCAGATTTCAGGATGCCTCCGGAGATCACCAGAGGAGGGAGGGAGGAGGGGGAGGAGGGAGGAATGGAGAGGGATGGAGGAGGGAGGAGGAGTGTTACCTATGGCTTCTCATGTGGCCGACCTCCAGTCTCCAACTTCCGAACCTCAGCATTTCTCACCAACTACTGCCATCCACTCTTCCACCCCCAGCTTTCGGCCAGGGCCTCCGCCTGTCGACCTCCAGCCTCAGGGGCAAGATCTTCAGCCTCAAGGGCAAGATATATTGGAAATTGCCACAGTGGAGCTTTGGAACAAGATCGAGCGTGATTTCAGATCGGGCCTGATTTTTCTGACGCTCTGGCGCTCCGGCGCCACACCCGCAGCACCCTCGACGGTGCCCATGTGCGGGCGCGTTTCGTGCTTCGTGCTGCGTGCTGCGGCGATCGAGAGCGGGTGACCACTGTGTCTGGACGAGTCGGATGACAGGTACGTCGTCGAGGGAGTGGTGCGGGCGTGACACGCTGGCGAGGCAGAGCGAACGCGAACAGTCGTTACTATACGCTCCCTGCCGCCGTCGATGTACATATAACCACGCACGCAGGCACATGCTTGGCCGTCTGCAGTTTTTGTGGTTCGGACAGTAAAAAGGCCCGCGCCCGCCCCGCGCGCGCGTGCTTATACTATTACACTTTCCTTACCCAACGCTTAACGGGATACCATATTCCTTAACAGCCCGCGATGTCCGTAGACCCGCTAGCATGGACCCCAGCAGTGAGGACTACCTTACTTGACGATATTGGCCTTGTTGGGCCTAAGTTGGGTAAAGATGGGTTATCAGCCGAGATCTCTGGGTTATGGACTGTCGACCATGTCGATAAAGATGGGGCAAGTATGAGCACTTCCGTGAATGTGGAGAAGAACATGGGAGGTGGAATCAGCCCCAAAGAAGTGGGAATGTATAAGGAACGAGTCGACGGACCAACGAAATCGACTTCACCACGCATCCGAGGGACAAAAGCGACAATGTTGCAGAAATTCAACTCACCTGAAAGACCACTGCCACCTGCATAGGAGGACGACGAGGCCATCACGAAGCTGATGCAGAAGAACCCCTTCGCTACTATACGAACTCCGACCCCAGCGGGTGAGGCAGCGGGACACGACGATATTCCCGTGAACCGCGGGCGACAAGATACCCCCATTCCAGAGGACGACCTCGACGAGGAAGATGATTGGTAATTGCGGGGGAAAGCCCTGCCCGCGTAACCCGCTGTTAGGCGATGTCGAACAGGCCTACGTCGTGAACTCCAGCTCATCTGACGAGGACGACGAGACCGAGCACATAGCCGTGCAGGTGAAGGCGATGTCCATATCGAGCTCGTCAGAGAACAGTCTTGGGTCGGCCCGTGGTCGAACCCCGAAGAAGCGAGGCGCGGACTATGTCCGGAAAAAGGAGAAGACACAAAGCCCCCGAGACAGCTCCGAACGCCTCGAGACTCGACGCGGGAAAACCCCAATGGATGACCCAGTGGACGCAAAATAATCCCCGTACGAAAAGCGCCCTAAGACCGAACCTGGCGGCTCGAGTGGTCAAGAGGACCCCGAGCCATTCCCTGATCTTAAACCCCGTGGAAGGCAAATATTCGAGTCACCCGGCTCGATTTCCCAGAGGTCAAGATCGGGAAAGGGCGGTCGCAGTCGCAACTCGCGGGGATCCCACCACGGGCCCTCTCTACAGGTCGTCAACATTTCAATGCGCGATAAGGGGCCCATGCGCGAACCGCGGACCGGCATGCGAGCCAGGCCCCGAGAGTCGCTGCCCAGGCAGAGCGGCTGGTGATCGGCCATGCCAGAAGCCTGTATGCCAGGGATGTTCCGTTCAGTGCAACCTGTGTAATTTGGGATATCTTTGCGCTTTGCGTACAGACATCGCGAGTAGGAGCTACAACAGGAAATGAGGCAAAACCAACTCGAGCAGGAGCGCATTTCCGAAATAGCAGCCATGCACACAATGATGGCAGACATGGAAGCCAGGCAGAGAGCGCAGAACGATCATATGGCGCAGCAAGCCGAACACGAGCTTAATGCAATCCTCCAAAGGGGAAAGGAGCAGCAGGATGCCCTCTATAAGGCTGCGTAAAGGCAGATAAAGAGGCCAGGGAGCAAAAGAGGACAGAACAGGCTATCGCAGAACAGGCCCGGCAAGCCCTCCGCTGGGCGCGGGGCTGGGGAGCGAAGCTTGAGGAGCAGGTTGGCGCGAAGCTTCGGGAAGCAACTATGGCGCAGGAACAATCTGTCTCCGAGGTGGAACAGATCGCAGCCATGTCCATCGCCGAGAGGCGCCAATTGGAACAGAACGCCGCAGTGGCGAAGAGAAAAGCCGACATGGCCCTTCAGGAAGCTCAGGCAAAGCAGCACTTGCTTCAGAACGAGGCCTGGAACGCGCAGATGGGGGCCGCCAACGCACAAGCCGAACTCAGGCGAGTCTCCGACTCAGCTACGGCGATCCGGGGGGGGGGGCCTGCGGAGAAGCCAGGGCCTTGATCCGAGTCAGGACGGAAGCCCTCGAAAAGCACGAGGCGGCCGTGCGAAGGGCGACAGAGTTGAAATCATTGCAACACAACGCTCAAATTGCGGTGGCAACCTCCCAGGCTGGCCATGCCAGCGCTAAAGCGAAGGCAGAATAAGCAATGCATGCACTGCGGAGAGCCGAGATGCAAGCGCAGGCCGAAGTCGAGGAAGCGAAGCAGCGCCTTCACCAAGAAGCCATTTCGAACGTGCAGAAGTGGGAGGCGCATCGCGACTTACCGTACAGACAACAGGCCATGCAAATGGTACAGGATGGGCTGCAAGGCGTGACAAGCACGGTGAGGAGAGCCGTCTCCGCATCGGCGACGCGGGTCCGTCCCGGCGTGGGGGCAATGTCCCAGCGGGGGGATTCGCGATCCAGGCCGGCCACGCAGACCGCGTGCGCGATCTCGAGGCGGTGCTGAGAGAGCGGCGCGAAGAGGAGGACGCCATGGTGAAGAAGGATTCAAGAAGAGGAAGAAGTCAGTCGGCCCAGAGACGAACTGAGGGCTAAGAAAGACGCCGTAGCCCTTCATCGCATTCATGAGCTTGAAGAAGAAGCAGAGCAGCGCGCGCGCGCGATTGAAAGAGCCGCGCGCGCACATGCCGAGGACACGCGAGAAAAAGGCAGAGGCAATCGTGGGATAATCCGAGATTGCCGCCGCCAAGGCCAAAGACAAAGACAGCCATCAAAAGGAATTGGCCCCCAGCGGAACGCAGAAACAGAAAGGAGAACGGAAGAAGAAGAAACCGAACGGACCGCCGATCAGCACTTTCCCCGGATGCACTGCGCCAGCCTGGCCGAAGAAAACCGCGGCCATTGCGGGAGACCTCGCCGGGGGCGACGATCAGCCTCTAGACCAGGGCAATGCCCGCGGTGACGGAGACAAGTCGGGGAAAAAGAAGGGCGGGTCCAGTCGCGCGCCTGGGGGTGGCAACCCAGATGACGGTAGCGGCGGCGACGACGATGACGACGAGGATGATTCCGATGATGAAGACGACTCCGAGGAGGAGGGCTCCGAGGACGAGGATGATGATACCTCCGAGGAAGAAGATGAGGGGGCTGCGAACCGGAGAGTTAGCCGATGCGCTGAAGCTCAGAGAGCTGGGCAAGGCGATCCGGGGGGGGGCGGACCACCGCCCCCAGGGCCCCCCGGAGAAGGCGGGGGCCCGGGACTCCCGGACTCCGGCGGCCTGGTGCCTAAGATGACCCCATGGATTTCGGCAGATCGAATTGACAAGATGACGCTGGACCCGCTGCCAGGCGCGGAATCCTTCCGGATGTGGAAGAAGTCTGTCATTCGTGCGGTGGCGTCGAGTTCGCAGCAAAGCCATGTCTTGGCGACGGAATGGGTAGCCGAGGCATTCGAGCCTAAACAGGTCAGACCAAAGGCTCTGAAAGACCCAGGACTGTATTTCGGGAACCTGGACATGCGGATAGCTGCAGACCTCATCGCAGATATCAATAATATTCAAAGGGGTCAAAATGCTTCCCATGCCTTAAGGCACCTCGCAAATGAGGTTGATCTCACTGACTCAGCCATGATGAAGGCTGGTGGATTACATTCAGTAAGATCGATCCTTCGCATCATTCAAACCCATGTCACCACTCGAGAAGACCGTGGTCAGGTGTGCACCTATGAGGACCTTATGGCCATCCAGATCAAAGGAGAAGGAAAAGAGGCAGACCGGGACCTCTACCACTTCTATGGTGAATGGATGAGGGTGACACTAGAGATGGAGAAACCTCACAAGTCCTTCAGGCCCTCCTTACAGAGCCACTTCTACAAGCAGATGAAGAAGTGCTCGTGCATGGCAATGACTCTTGTAATGTATGACAACAGCAATGACACATACGGAAAGGGCATGAAGTCGTATGAATGGATGCTGGGGAGGATCGCAAACCAGATGCTGAAGGACCCGGGAGAGGATAGTAGAAGGATTCAACAGCAGCAGATCAACAAGCGAGGGGCGACGCCCAGTGGTGAGAAGGCAGGCGGGGGGAACAAGGATTCCCTCACCATGAAAGATGGGAGGCTCAAGAAGTCCGTCGTTTGCCGTCGCTGGTCAAAGGGGCAATGTCCCCTAAGCTGGCAAGAATGTATGTACCTGCGCCCCAC